TACGAGTCTGATCTCAGAAGTGAGACCCTGTACACCCTGCAGATCCTGTCCTAAATTCATAAAAATAAATAAATAAACAAATTATGATACACTGCAAGTGGAAAGTACACCCCAGATTTTTTTTTTTTTAAACTGGAGATTGAACTCAGGCCCTTGCATTTGCCAGGGAAGGACTTATTCCCCTGAGCCATCTCCCCGGCCCCTATACCTCAGATTCTGAAGACTTAGTTTGTTTTCCCCAGTTCTGGGGATGGAACCCAAAGCTTACCCTAGAGTGTGTTTATTTTCTTTCTTTTTTCCTCCCTTTCTTAGTGCTAGGGATTAAAATTAAGTCCTCCACCCCTACATCCAGTGGTGAGGATTAAACACAGAGACTTAGCACTGAGCCGCACCCCTGATCATTTTTATTTCAAGCGCTTATTGTACTGAGCTATCTGCCCGGCCCTGCCCTGATCATTTTTAATTTTTCAATTTGGAGACAGGATCTTGATAAGTCATTTCTCCTAAAAGAATTGAAATCATGCAAAGTATCTTCTCTGGCCACTGGGGAATGAAATTAGAAATGATTAACAGAAGGGAATTACAGTTCACAAGTATGTGGCAAGGAAATAACACTTTCCTCTATAACCAGTAGGTGGAGAAGAAATCATAACCCAGGCATGGTCATGTACACCTGTAATCCCAGCACTCTGGGAGACTGAGGCAAGATCACACATTTGAGTCCAGCCTGGGTAATTGAGAGATTCAGTGACACTCTGTCTAAAAAAAAAAAAAAAAAAAAAAAAAAAGTCTAGGGATGGACATAGCTCAGTGTAAAGGTCCTGGTTCAATAAAGAAGAAATCATCAAGCATGGTGGCACAACATGTGATCCCAGCACTGGAGAGGCTGAGGCATGAGGATTGCTGCAAGTTCAAGGCCATCCTGGGGACACAGTGAGTTCAGGATCAGCCTGAAGACCCTGTCTCAAGAAAGATGATGCCAGGGACCGGGGAGATGGCTCAGTAGAATAAGCGCTTGCCTGGCAAGCACAAGGGCCTGAGTTCAATCCCCAGTTCCGTCAAAAAAAAAAAAAAAAAAAAGATGCCAGGCGTGGTGGCACACACCTGTAATCCCAGCACCCGGGAGGCTGGGGCAGGAGGACCATTGCCAGTTTGAGGCCAGCCAGGGCTACAAAGTGAGCTCACTCGGCCCCGCGAGACTTTGCGAGACTTTGTGGGCATTCTTCGTCCTCGCTCTGGGTGGCCCTTAAAGAGTTTTGTGCTATCTCTCTGTCCCTGCAGAAAGTTTGAGAACCTCTACATCGGCTGGGGTCACAAGTACAGCCCGGACAACTTTAACCCGGCCCTGCCAGCCCCCGTTCAGCAGGAGTACGCGAGCGGCCCAGAGATCACCGAGATGAGCGACCCCACGGTGGAGGAGGAGCAGGCCCTGCGCGCTGCCCAGGAGCAGGCCCTGGCGGCCGCCGAGGACGAAGAGGAGGACGAGGAGGAGGAGGAAGGCGAGGACCTGGATGACTGAAGCCTGGCATGCCCATCCCCCAAGCACACACACAGTAGTTTTCCCTTCCGCGTAGATAGTTCTGGCTTGTAGTGTTTCACTGTCCTTGCTTCCTGCTCCTGGGGTGCAGTAGTATATGACAAATTTCCAATGCAGTAATTAATTCATTCAACAATTTTTGTTTTCTTTCGTTTTTGTTCAGGGGATGGAACTCAGCACCTTGCACTTCGCTGTGCCACTGAGTTATGCCCACCCCACATTTGTTGACCTAGATGCCAAGTAAGGGCTGTTGTGAGGTGCTGGAGGCAGGGGCTGGCACCTGCTGGTACAGTCTCCCCCGTTTTTCATTTATTTATTCAGCTGGCTATCAAACACGTATTGAAGTGACTCCTATTAACCAGACCTATGCTGAAGACACAGAAATGTCCAAGTGCACCCTGGGCTGCCTTCCCAGGGCTGACATACACTAAGGAAGACACACTTGTCCCCAGAAGATGGCAGTCCAGATGGAGGAGCTCTGAGGACTGACAGAGCTGCCGAGCTTTTTGGTTTTTGGGGTTTTTTTGACTTTGAGACAGGGTCTCACTATGCAGATCTGGCTGGCCTTGATCTCATTTTGTAAGCCAGGCTAGTCTTAAACTCCCAACCATCCTCCTGCCTCCTGCCTCCTGCCTCAGCCTCCTAAGTGCTGGGATTACAGGTGTGTACCACCGCGGCTTGAGCAAACTCTTTTTTTTTTTTTTTGGTGGAACCAGGGATTGAACTCAGGCCCTTACTCTACTGAGCCATCTCCCTGGCTCCCTTGAGCGAACACTTAAGAAGTCAAAAAACAGAACAATGGGGCTGGGGAGATAGTTCAGTGGCTTATGTGCCTGCCTGGCAAGCACAATGTTCTGAGTTTGATCCCTAGTTT